CTCCTTTTCTCTGGCTCAGCCCCTCATCAGTAGTGTTTGAAAATCACTCATTTCCTTATCTTCCTTTTTCTTAAGCCTTTCCATGATCTTTCATTCTCTTCCCTTCCCATCTCTTAAATTTTGGTGGGAAGGAACCCTGTCTGCAGCTCTCTATGTGGGCCTACTCCGCCTGGCTTCAGACACAGCCATGTGCAGAGGGCTCGTGGTCTGCACACACAGCTCATCTGTGGAGCTCGAGCAGCATGCCCAACGCCGTGAGCAACCTGGGTACCTCGCAGTATGGTGCAGTGCCAAAAGTCTGAGTGCAAAAAATATAACATCATTTATGTAGTATTCCTGCCAAAATGCATGGCCTAAATATAACCATGAGGAAAGAGACACATCCAGACTAAGGGACACTGTAATAAACAGTAAAGCCTGTGTTTGTTTTGTCTTGTTTTGTTTTGTTTTGTTTTGTTTTAGACAGGTTCTAGCTATGTAGTCTCAGTTGGCCTCAAACTGACAACCTCCTGCCTTGCCTCCCAAGCACTGTGAATTACAGGCATATGCCACCACGGCCAGGAGGCCTGTGGCTTTTTGAAATCCCATTGTCATGAAAGAAAGAAAAGCTAAGGTCTTGATTTAAGTAGGCCAAGAAAACAGGACAACGAAGTTCAGCATGTGACCCAGGATTAGATTCTGAATTGTTGGGACAGTGCTATTAGAATTAGGAACAGTAGGGGCCTGGGAGATGGCTCAGTAGAATAAGCGCTTGCCTGGCACGCTCAAGGGCCTGAGTTCAATCCCCGGTCCCACCAAAAAAAAGAATTAGGAACAGTAGTGGAATAATGGTTAGAATTGGAAAGCAAGCTACATATTAGATAATAATATTGTATCAATGCTAAACTTTCTGAATTTGATAAATTCTAATATAAACTATCCATTAAATAATAATATTGTATCAATGCAAAATTATCCAAATTTAATAAATTACTGAAGTTAGATTAAGAGCATGACCTTGTTAGATCACATTTGAATATTTGGAAATAAAGGAAATGATTTTGTGACTTAATCCAAATAATTCAACAAAAACAAAAGCAAAAAAAAAGAAAGCATGAAAAAATGTTAATAAAGAGTGACTCTAGGGCTGGTGAGATGGCTCAGTGGTCTAAAGCACCTACCTAGAACAAGCTAAGCTGAGCAAACCACAAGGAGCACGGTTCAATCCCCCAGCACCACATGCCAGCCAGCCCGCCCCCTGGTGGGCTGAGCTGGCCACACACACACTAAATAAATAAATAAATAAATAAATAAATAAATAAATGAGTGACTCTAGGTGAGCGAGTTCATTATATTCTTTCAACTTTTCTGTAGCTCTCATTTATTTTTTATAATAAAAAGTTAAAAAGAGAATAGGCGTAGCCTCACTCTGTATATTCTTGGGAAACTCTACACTTCAGTCCCTCAGTTTCCTCGTCTATAAGATGAAGATAATAATATTACCTACACTATCTCTTTGTCAATAAAACTTTGAAAATAAAAATAAATAAATA